GACTATATTAAGCTATGAATTTTTTGTATTAAACTGTGATTTTGTGTTTTAAACTATGAATTGAATGCATTAAGCTGTTAATTTTCTATATTAAACTGTGATTTTTTTATATTAAACTGTGATTTTTGTGTTTAAAAATGTGAATTGACTGCATTAAACTATGAATTTTCTGTTTAAATTGTGAATTGACTGCATTTTGCTGTGAATTTTTTATAATTTGTGTTAAAATATGAATGATTTATGTATAAATTTTTGTGTTAATTTTCTTATGAATATATTTATTTTTTTTGTTGTATAAATTTGTAAGAATCCACTAGTTTTTATAATTTTTTTGCATTAAATTCAAAACGAGTGAATTAATAGGCTTTATTAAACTGTGAATGTAGTATTTAAGTTGTTAATGCATGACTTTATCTACAGATCTGATTTGGAAGAAATGACGGCTACTATGTTGATACAGGTGGTTGGTGGTGGCATGTGGTGGTAGAGTTTGAGTTTTTGACTTCTTTGAATTAGTGAATTATTGTAAAACAGTTTGTATTAAGTTGTGAATTTTTTGCATTAAACTGTAAATGGACAGTGTAAATCTGTATTTAATATAAGTTTTGTGTTAAAATATGAGAGCATATACGGATGAAAATATTAGACTGTAAAAATTATAAGTTTGCTCTTTTCATACCAAAAACACAAAAAATTAGGATTTTAACATGTTTAATAAGAGTATAGTGTAAATATTTACTATTTAATTGAGGTTCTTAGGGTTCTTAATCTTTTATGGTTCTCATTTGAACCACTCCTTATATATATATATATATATATATATATATATATATATATATATATATATATATATATATATATATTGCATGAACATAATAGAAACTTAAGTGGTAAAACATCTTAAACCATTTAGCAAAAGTGAAGCTTGATCATCACTAAATAATAATGATTATTAAAAGTAGTATAAAAGTTGATAAAAACATCTTAAAAATTTAAAACAATACGTTTCTTATAGTTAACTTTTGTTTTAGTATTAATACATTTTATTTTCTTTTATATTTTAAATTTTGAGATCGTACATGTAACATGTTCCTTTATATTTTTAATGTTAGATTGTTTTTATATAATTGACTTGAAAGGGTGATTATGTTATTTTGTTTGAGTTTTAGATGAAAATTCATTATTAATACATAATATTTGTTTTGAGTTGTGAAGACTAGTTTATATTTAGTTTTTTTTTATAGTTTAATTACATTTAAAGTTTCTATTTTCATATATGATTTGTGAACATTTTTATAATATAATTTTGTTCCTCCGTAACACATGGGTATACGCTTAATCATCATATCATACTATATTATAAATGAAACATTTTTTCCTTTCACCACATTCATTTGAAACTCCCATATATTTTTCCTTTCACCGCATTCATTTGAAACTCCCATGACTTTTCAATTTCTTTCTAATAATAATTATAAATTTGTTAATAAGGTTAAATAAATATCAAACCTAAAGTGTAATCATATATAAACTAAATTTTAATATTAAAATAATATATTTACTTCTACTTATTAAGTGATTTTTTTTAACTCTTAACATATTATACTTAATTTATTAGTTTTAATATATTGTTGGATGTAAACATTATCATTTTAAAGATGCAATTTTGGAAAAATTTGTATAAAATACTTAAATTATTAATTTGAATATAACATTACAGTGTCAACTTAAATATAAATTTTAGTTTAACTTAAAAAACCCAAAGAATATTTTGTAAATAGTTAAAAGTGATTAATTGTAGTGTTTTTCTAATAATTATTATAAGTTGGCTAATAATGTTAAATAAATATCAAACCTAAAGTGTAATCATAAATATACTAAATTTCAATTTTAAAATAATATCTTTACTTCTACCTATAAAGTTATGTCTTTAACTTTTAACATATTATACTTAATGTAATAGATTTAATATGTTGTTGTATGTAAATCATTATCAGTTTAAAGCTACAACTTTTAAACAGTTTGGACAAAATACTTAAATTGTTATTTTAAAGATAACATTACAATGTCAACTTAAATATAAATTTCAGTTCCACTTAAAAAACCAAAGAATATTTTGTAAATAGTTAAAAGTGATAAATTGTAGTGGTAAATGCAAAAACTAAATTGTAATCTTAATTTAACTAAAACATTTTCTAAAGATATTTTTATAATCGTTAAAAGTTTTCAAATAAGTAGTTTAAAATAACTTACAATAACAACAGTTAAAAATAACTTTATATAAATGATTATATTGTTACCTTTAAAATCAAAAAACAATGTTTGATGTTTTAAATAATTATAATGATAAAAATTAAAACATTAAGCAAATAAATTCTAAAAAATTAATTAACAATAACAACAACTATAAATAACATTAAACCATATATTATATTTAATTTTATTCATGTGTAACTCGCGGGTAGACGCCATTCAAACGATTGATATTATACAGTTATAATAGATGTATATATTATCATATAATTCAAAATAATCAATACACTATATCAATTTAGTATACAAATTATTATATCAAATTTAACAGCAATGTTATTACTATATTAAAAAAACATATATTTGTAAAGACTTCAACTATATAGGTGTTTCTGTGCAAGGCGCGGACATTCACCTAGTGTCTATTATAATATATACAAAATTTCTAGCACCATATTGATTTCAAGCTCATGTCTTTTCATATTTCTATATAATAATGATTCTTTAGAATAATAATTTCACCTAATTAACAACAACAACTACCAAAAGGTCTGACGTAGCGCTAACGAGTGACTCTTTCATTTGAGAGCTCATGGGTTCAAGTCTCGCTTGAGACATATGTGGTGATAGTTAAGAGTAGAATAGTTTGTCATTTCAAAAAAAAAAAAAAAATTAACAACTACTCAAAAAAATTTCTAACTTATGATAATTAATGGGATGATTGACTTAAATGAAATTTTTTGTCTATATAAAAACATTGAAATGTTTTACTCATACTTGATTCTATTTTCATTTTGGTTATTCACACATGATTTTCTTCCTTTTCATTTTTTGTTATCTAGAATGGATGGAAATACAAAAGAATGTGCAGATATATAGGTAAAGTTATATGGTTTTTTTATCTCTTTCAATTTATTCGTTTATAAAATGTTTATTCAAAGTTGTATTAGTTAAAATACTTTTTTTTAACATTTGATTTTTCTACTTGAAACATTTATGAACCTTCGACATATAATTCTTTTCATTTTAGTATTTCATTATCACTATCAATATTTAAGTTTGTGGCATAATGGTGACTAATGAATAAAAGAAATAAAACTTCAACTCCATTATGACAACCATTTAAAGACATTAACTCATTATTGTAATCTTAAATGAAAAAAAAAACAAGTACATGGACTAAAAGTTGTATAGTTATTGAAATTTGCATGACTTGGGATATATTTTTTGAACATTTGATTTTTCCGCTTAGAAGATTTATTTCGACATATAATTTTTTCATTTTAATATCACACTATCACTATCAATATCTAAGTTTGTGGCAGAATCGAGAACGATGAATAAAAGAGATAAAAATTCAACTCCATTATAACAACCATTTGTGCCTAAATTACTTTGAGGAAAAAAATATATAGTATTTAACATGCCTTAATTAGAGACATGTACTAGATGCATGTTGAGGAAGTATATGATCATCTTGATTTGAAAAGCTATAAGAATGAAATTGAAATCTTAAATTAGTGAAAGGGTATTATTTTTAAAACTTCATTTCAACATATTTGAAGCAATATGTAGATTCTCAAATTAATGTTAAATAATAACAAACATGTTTTGTTTAAACTTATAAACATAGATGTACTTTTCAATTCAAGTATTGAGTTGATAAAGTAGTTAAACAGCTCACATATAAATATAGATTTAAAGAATTAGTACAATGTAACTTAACTAGAAATTTAATTAAAGCTTTAACTAGATTTTATTAACCCATTTTTTTAATTTTTTATCAAAACTATTTTAAATCTATTATTATATTACTGTGCAAACGCAGGAAGATACTTGTATTACAATATAATTATTACACCATGTTTAATACAATTACTACACAATGTATTGCAACTTGTGATGGCTCATATATAGTAGAGCTCCTAATTGGTCTATGTGGGCTCAAGTAACTATATACATAATGAGCGGCCCGATTTGTTGAACCCAAAATCTCACACAACTGATTTTCACCATTATTTAACCCATTGTACATATAAAAACATCTAAATCAAAATTGGTTGTTTCTATATCGATTTGCTTTGTCTATTTTCAATATGTTGTAGATATGAAGTCAATATAACGATGTAACAGATAAAACCTGTTACTTTGTAATCATCTTTCTGATTTGAAGTCCACAATAAAACACTACATACCATAAATTGATGCAATATTCAAAATTAATTTGAAAAATGACATGGATTCTTACGTCAAATCGACAATCAAGTCAAAAAGGACAAGTAATCACAATCTTCATTACCATTCATAGGATATAAACGAGACCACTTAAGCCACTAACACGAAAATGGAATTGAAATAAAACTAATATAACTTAACGATGGATGATGACAGATATTAGACTTAAACTAAATAATCAACTCAGATATACAATTGAACACTTGCCTAAACTAAGATTACATATGTTAAATACTAAAAAAAAACACCTCTAGTAATCGACTGAACTTCTCCCATTCCTCTTATTACTGTAGCTGAATAGGAGGTTAGTTTTTGAAATTATGATTGTAACATATATAATTAATCACTTGAACTACCTTTATCTTCTTGATTAATTACTGGTTTGTGTTTTGCTTTAACATCATGCCCAATGCAACAAGCATAGTTCATAATGTATCGGGAATGATCTCAAAACAAAAATATTATCATGAAAAATGCACAGGAGAAAAAGGAGGCATATGATCGATCCCTAACTAGCATGATGCATGTAATGGCGAGCAAAATGTTTGTTGAATATATTGAACGAGGTCTTCTGCACTTAGCTGACATTCAATTCCAATCTACAACAAATGAATCAAATTACAATAACAATGGTTAATCTTATCATAAAAGATTATTTTATAACTATCATTTTATTTTTGTTTGAAAAATGTGTGGCGGATAAACTTAATGTAAACAACCAAAGATCGAATAAAAATTGATCAGACGGTTGGAAAACATTAAAAATTTATCTTATCTTCGTCAATCACCGGTGTATATAATATATATGTAATTGCGTCTAGAAAATTACCTTAGCTATTCCTAGATGTCGGGTGATAGTCTTAATCAAAGTGATTAATATTGTAAGTTGTACTATTCAATTGTGATTGTTATTATAATTAAGTTTAACTTCAAAAAACAGAATGGATATTAGATGATATTATATAATAAGTCGTTAAACCAAAGGGCATGTGAAGATGTAGAGGGTCAATTTATGCGTCGAACAAAAATGTTAATTTAAAATTTAGAAATAAAGTATAAATTGTGACCTAGCTAGGTCATGTTATGTTTCTAATTAATTTAGTTTGTAATAATCGATCCCAAAAAAGAAAAAGTAAACATGTTGGTTAGGTATCGATTTTGAAACAAGAAAGACATGTGTAAGCATGCATGCATGCAATTCTTAATTAATAATTATAAAAACCTTCAAGAATTAATTAACGAAGCCTATGGCTGACCTTGATGGTGAAGGAATTCACCAGGGTTTCATCAACAATGTTAATCCCAGCCTGGAGAATTTCAAGAGAGAGATCTTCAAGAACCGAAACTATCTTCGTTGCTTGGCATGGCAACCGAGGTGAGATAGTCTTTAGAAGAAGATTGGGGCCTGAAAACTTCACCTCAACATCAGCAATAGATGACTTGGAATTTGCACCAAGCTCGTTGTTAACAATATCAGAAGTTGAGATATCAGAAGTAGAAGGTGAAGGGTCAAGTGAGTAAGATGTGTTAATAATAGGGACTAGATGAGGTTGCTGCAACCTGCAGGCTCTATAAGGGGTTACTGGTTGTGGGGTTCTTGGGCTAATCGGCAAGATCGGCCTAGGGCTTAGAGGGGGTTTTCGGGGGCTGAGTGGTGAAAGTCTAGGGCTCAGAACATCACTGTAAGCTTTTCTTTGCTTCTTTGCCTCAAGTGATTGAAGAACTTGTTGTAATTCTGTGATGTAATCAACTACTCCTCCTATTATTGATGCTTGATCACCCTACAGTTGACGAAAACACAACATGTACAAATTAAAACCTTAAAAATTAATTAAAGAAACCAAGTTGTGAACTGTGATGGAGCTAGCCAGCAGGAGGTTATAAAACTGAAGTTAAGTACTAAACGCGCGTGTACCCTTTTGACATAGAAGCAAGGCATTAGTGAACGAAGAACTGTTAAGTGTTCATTCATCTGCTTTCTTCGGTTCCTCTCCACCGTGATATGCGACACTTTCTGCTGTCCATCTGAGATTACACCGCCTTCTTCTACTAAAGACAGCTTCTGTCTCTTACTCTTGGGCGAAACCATCTCCATCTCCGCCTCCACGACTTCTTGTAAAGCACTGCAGGAAGAGGTCGACTTCTGAGACCCCAATGGATGATGATGATCAACCTCTTTCTCATGAAACCCGCCGCTAGCGCTCTCCAAAGGTTTCAGGGACGTGAATTCAGCAGAAACACCCTCGAGAACTTCAAGCATACTGAAGATGTCGTCTGAAGACGCTGCATCCGATGACATCATCAAGTTTGTCTCTGCAAACTGTTCGGCATAACTGTCGAAGAAATCTGTCAAAGAAGTACCTTCACCAACCATTTTGAGGTTTTGATCAGAGACAAGAAAGAGGAATGTTGAAGCTAAAACAGTCGGTGTGCACTTGCTTTCCTTTCAATAAACAAACAAAATATGTAGGTACTTGAGGGAAGTGACCCAAATTAAGATGGCATGAAGATGTTGGTTTGGTTTTGTGAGGTATAGAAAAGATAAATAGCAGAAACATGAGATATTAATGGGCATATCTTTCAGATCATGGATAGTGACATCTCTATATGCTCTCTCTCTACCGCTACCTCTCCTAAGATTGATTTAAATAACAATTACAAATTTTTGATAGATTAAGTTTAGGCCAAGGCATCTAGATTGTATAATGGATTCACATTATCATCATTCTATATATTTTTCATTAGCTGTATAATTATTTTTTCCTACAAATACATCAAACTTTATAAAGTTTAATAAAACATATTTAAAAAAAAATCATTTATTACAAAACTTAATTTGTAATATTTATTTAAGTATTAAATAGTTTTTTTTATTGAAAAGTTCAATAAACTCCATATCCATTGACCATTTAGCTGTCATCTCACGATTAATCCATTAAAACAAATAGAAATTTCATGATATCATTCAACTTTAATTTATACTAAACATGTATTGTGGATTTCATATAAGCTTGTAAGAGTAAGGCAACTCTATTTTACAAAAAAAAAAAAAAAGTAATAATAATAATAAATAAATATATAAAATAAATAAATAAAATCTTTTTACAATAAAAGTTAATATCGCATGATAAAATCAATCTTAAAAATGTCTCTTTTTTCAAATCTATTGAATTGTTGCTATTAATGTCTTTGTGAATTTATTGTGGGCATTCAATGAATCATGTATTAACCGTTGGATGCTATTTGGGCATCCTCTTTCCGAGTTGACTTTAAAAAATTTAGGGTATTTTTTATCATAAAACTTCATATTAATTAAATTAGTTTTCAATATTTAAGACTAACTACTCGTTTCACATTTAATTGAGTATAAAATAAGAAATTAAGTGTCACTAACAACTCGTTTCACATTTAGTATTTGGTGTTTCTAAAAAAGTGCTAGATCGATTGTGATGAGGTGGGAGTCATTCTTATCTTTTGGTATTTGAAAACCTAATATATCTAATCGCTACGAGCTAGCATATAAATGAAATGTTTCGAAACAACGTTAAAATTATATATATAATGATGTTATTTTTTATTTTTTATATTTGAATAAACAGATCTAGATATATACGACGATGTACATAACAAAGTAATTAATATTGATGTATGTCAAGTCGTAATATATGACTGAAATACAAAACTTTGTGATGTTGGGTATCAATCCTGGGAAATGAAGAAAACAACAATACATGCCAAAAGAAACAAAAACATAATGAGTGAATAATGAATGATTCAGAGCTGAATCAACCAAAAGTATGTGAAAAGGATGCATGGAATTCAGACAAGTTTTGTTTGTTAGCTTATAAATGTCCATGGCTTCTTTAACTCCTCCCAGCTACTACTACTCATCTTCTACGGTTCTACTTTCCGACTCCGGCCGTTCACTGCGGTCCCATTCCCTGATTCCCATTAATGGTTCTATTGCCGGCCGGACAGATCCTGGCGGGTGTTTTGGGTTTGAAATCAGGTAATAAATTGAGGGAAGATGGATATATAGCGAGATGATGGTGATTTTGCTACAGTTTTTTGTATGTATTTCTGTGCATGAAAGTAGCAGTAAATATTCAAAAAAGTTGAAGTAACAGTGGAGTCGCCATGCATGCAGATAACATGGTACCAAACCAACTACCAATTACAGCTACTACAAAAGTAGCTTCGGACTACTTATACGTACATAACCATTTATGTTGATTTACTTAGAGTACTCGTTATTGTGCCTCTTAACACGTGATAACGCCAATGAACACCGCCCCTTCCTCCTGTTATTACATGTTAAAGGCTTTCGCGTTACTTTCCGTTACCACCATCACATTTGGTAACGGCGTTTTTTTGTTTTTTAGCCTAGTAAACGGATACGCTTCTAGATTTTAATTGGGTACGTACGTAGTAACTAATATAAAATACAATATTGTATATTATGATAGAGTAAAAAAGTTTTGTTTGTTTGCATTGTCAAATAAAAATGGAATCCAGTATTCGTTACGCGCTACGTATTGGGATTTTTTTTTCGGGTGACATTAATATATTTCATTGTGGAGTGGGTTTTTTAATTTATTGATGGAATAGAAATATGGTATTCGAATTATTTAATCTATTTATTTTTATAAGTAGGTTATAACCCGTGGAAACCACGGTCGGTATATCTAAAATTTTTATATAGATAAAAAAATAATTAATGTAAAAAAAACAAAGATCTTGTCGATTGTAAGTAATTATAAATTAATTTGTTAAGCAAAATAAACATAATAATGTTATTAGGATATGATTTTGTATTTTTAAAATTTGAATTGAATTTGATTTGTTACCAAAAAAATGAAATAATAAAAATCATAGAAAAATGTCACGTGTCAAAGAGACATTTTAAAAGACTGACATGTCATTTTTAGGTTTAATTTATTAGAAGGGGTGGATTTAATAACATTGGTGTTTAAAAGTATTCAGATCTTTGTTAATTTCATTTTTTTTTAAATCTAAGATATTGTTTTGAATCTTTATGGTATGTTATTCAATTTATTTCATCTAACTCTTTTAGACTAATATATTTATCTCATTTTATAAAACATAATCGAAATGTCAAACACATTTAAGAAAAATATCCAAAAAATATATTTTTAAATAATTAAAATAATAATATTATGGTAAATGTTAACTGAAATATCGAATTAACTAAAAAAATAGTTTATTTTTTTAATGGAGGTGCTAAATGTAGCAGTCAAGACGTTTGAAGCATTAAAAAAACACTGGTCACCCATTATAGAGAATTTTCCGTCTAAACTGTCAGTATGAAAAGCCAAATCCTTATCTTTGGAGGTCGGCTTATTCTAATCAAGATAGTCTTCCTACCTATAACCTATTATATGTCCCCTTTTCAAAGCCCAACAAAGTATTATTGACACACTAGAAAGGATGAGATGAAAATTCTTATGGAGTGGGGATGTTCTAAAATCCAAAATACATTAATTGGGTGGAATATTTGTCTAAAGTAATCGCACCTAAAATGAACGGTGGAACCAAAAGGCTTCTAGCCCACCGGTATCTGGTATTGTCATTTTTTTTTGAGGTTGATGGTTCAAATCCCACCGTAGACATATGTGAAATTAAGGGGTAATTTAGGAGTATATTAGATTTTCTGTTTAAAAAAAAAGGACAGTGGATTAGGGATAAGAACATTAAAAGCTCAAAATATGACACTTTTAACAAAATGGTGGTGGAGACTATTAAACAATCAAAATAGTTTTGAGGAAGGGTGTAATTGTGAGCATACATAATCTAAGAAAGAAACTAGCCCCCAACATTGCAAAAAAAAAGCTTCATTTGGTGCTTGGTGCAATGTGTCAAAGGTCGTTTACAGCCTCTCGGACCTCAACATAGACTGTAATGAAATTTTTACATTGGTCCCGGGATTTGACACTCCAATCATGTTCTGGAAAGATGCCTAGTGTGGTAACTCTTCTTTTCAATCTCGATGTCCAATTTTATACAAGGAAATTATTAATTTTTTTTTTGGAATATCGACTTTTCGACAGTGGTATCCCATAGGTCTGGCAACAAGAGCCGACTGCTACAGGATCACAAAATGAACTGTTACAATTATACTCATCCATTGGTAGCATGGAGCCTAACATTACCACTTCTTTCGAGTTTCACTTTAATCTAAATCCTGATGGGAGATATCCAGTCAAAAAAATATGGAGGATGGTCAATTCACAATTGATCTTACATAAAGGTTATGTCATCTGCTGGTCAAAAATTATCCCACTCTGTAACATCCATAAAATTCATGTAAAATTTAAACTTTTCCAAACATTTCAAAACCGTCCATTGTTTAAAAATTGTTTTCAAAATAATCCAACATCAGAGTTTCCCAGAAATGACAACATGAAAAATGAGGAGGTGCACGATCAAGCCTTCGCCTTCCCGCGATCATCCAAAGTTCTTGAAACAAAATCCACAACTGTAAGCATGAAGCTTAGTGAGTTCCCCCAAAATATCCGCACAACAATAACACACATATAATAACACATAATACAAACAACATACTACGGGTCCAATCAACCATCGGGTTGTAATACCCCAGACACCTCAACCATCAGGTTGGAATGCCAACATACTATGAGTCCAATCATCCTCGGGATGGAATACTCTCGGCCCTCAAACATCGGGTTGGAATGCCCACATACTATGAGTCCAATCATCCTCGGGATGGAATACTCTCGGCCCTCAACCATTGGGTTGGAATGCCCACATGCTATGAGTCCAATCATCCTCGGGATGGAATACTCTCGGCCCTCAACCATCGGGTTGGAATGCCCCAATCTGTTGGCTTATGCAAAAAGCAGAAAAGCCTCAACCACCAATCAAACATATGCACATCTATCAGATAATCACATAACAGTCTACAGACAGTCAAACCGATCTACATATCACTAAGCATAACAACATCCTATCTACCAGGATACCGATCTAACAGATCATAACAGCATGGAAACATCCTACCTACCAGGATACTGATCTAACAGATCATAACAGTAATAAATCAGGATAACAATCCAAAGGGCCGACCTTGGTGCCTTAGACCCGTGAGCATAGTGAGGAAAAGTCACCTCACAAGCAGCACTGAATGATAAGGTCAAACTCCCAAAACACAGCTCCGAACTCAATTGCCTACAACCACCATGTGATCAACTCCATTAAAATCCTGAAATACCCAAAATACCCTTAAGGTCAAACTTGGTCAACCATGGTCAAAGTCAAAGTCAATTGTTAAGTTCAATAGTCAAGGTCAACGGTCCATGTTGACCCAAATCGTCGAGTGCATCTACTGACTCGTCG